CCACTATGCCTGACCTTAACTTTGATACACTAAAATTTAGAATTTGATCTGATTTTTTTTCTTTTATTATTATTTTTTTCAGTCGTGAAGATTGAACTAAGAACCCATACGTGCTAAGCAAGCACTTCACTAGCTCAATTTAGCAGGGTCTCACTAAGTTGCCCAGGCTAGCCTTGAACTTGTGATCTTCCTGACTCAACTTTCTGAATAGCTGGAATTGCAGGTGTGCACCACTGCACCTGGCTCAGACCTGGACCTGAGAACTTCACTGTTACCTAGGAAGTGTTGAATCTAAACACACACTTAGAAACAGGATTTAAAATAAACACATATTAGAAAAAGGATTTAAGAACCTTAGGATTTGCCTCTTGACAGCTTCACTTTTCACAAAGGGGAATATAAAATCCAGAGGAGTTAAATAACTTGCCTAAGAACACATAGTGACTCAGCAGACAAAGGAACCCAGGTCAACTGATTTCACCCTAGGGCTTTTCACACTACTCAAAAGTAAGAGATCTTACACATTAGGGTGATTAGAAATAATGATAATATACTACATATTTCAAAGAAGCTGGGATTTTAAATATTTTCACCATAAAAAATGATAAATGTTTCTAGTACTAGATATGCTTAACCTTGATTAAAACATTACACAATGCATACACATACTGGAAAATTTCATGATACCCCATAAATAAATACAATTTTTATTTTTTAATTTTATATCCCTAGGCCTTTTAATTTCCTATTTTGAGACACGGTATCTCCAGGAGGGTGGCACATACCTATAATTCCAGCAACTCAGGAGGCTGAGGCAGAAGGATGGTAAGTTCAAAGCCAGACTCAGCAACTTAGCGAGACCCTAAGCAACTTAGTGAAACCCTATCTCAAGTTAAAAAAAAAAAAAAAAGGGAGGGGCAGGGAATGTGACTCAGTGGTAAAGCACCCCAATCGCCAGTACCAAAGAGAGAGAGAGGGAGGGAGGGAGGGAGACAGACAGACACAGACAGGACCTCAGGACCTCGATAAATTGCTGGGGCTGGCATTGAACTTGTAATCCTCCTGCCTCAGTCTCTAAAGTTGCTGGAATTGCAGGGAGTGCCACCATACCTGGCTTTTACAATTTTTATGTTAATTTAAAAAATAATCTTTAAAAAATAAATTATAATTAAAAATTTAGACTCTTCTTTCCTTTTTTTTTTTTTAAGCAAAATGAAAATAAAAACTCCTGTGATCCTGCCACATTAGCCTCCCGAGTAGCTGGGATGACAGGGACATAGCCCTGTACCAGGCAAAGTCTCTTATTTCAGCTTCTTCAACATTCTACAACTCCGTTACTCCTGCATAGACAAATATAGGGTTTAATTTTAGTCCCACCCCCCATCCCACAGCTACTTTCTAAGTTTCTCTGTAAGTTGTCTGTAAGTGTGTGTTCTTGAACATATACTTTTTTAAGAGACAAGTTTCCCTAAAAATCTCCCTTGGGCTTCACACTGAAAAAATCACCCTAGCAGTAAAGAGAAACAGAAATCTTTCCCCTCTAGATTGAATAGCCTCCATGTAGGTCCAATTTCAGTACCTGAGCCAAATGTCAGAAGCACTCTCCACCTCAGCCTCACCTGTGTTTCACCAGGGCTGCATTGGATGCCTGGATGTCCCCGCAGAGCTTAACACAATATCCATTCAGTAGGGGTTCCACAGTTACCTTTCAAGTGAGAATTAGATTTGAAAGACTCTTTCTCTTAAATTCTGGGATGAAGGTCAGCAGACTACAACCTGTGTGGCCAAATCAGGTGTTGTTTTTATAAATATGACTACTAGGTTTTTGTAAGTAAAGGTCTATTGGAACACTGCCATACTCATTCATTTATATATTATCAGCGACTGCTTTTACACTGAAATAGCAGAGTTAAGTAATTGCAGTTAAAAACATAACCCACAAAGGCTAAAAAATATTTGCTCTTTGGCCCCTTACAGAAAACATTCGCTGACCCTGGACCAGAGTCACAGTGTGATAGGGTAGATAAACCACTTTCCAAATCCTACTTTCTGTTTACTTCCAAGTGGTGATTATGAGATAGGAAAGATTCAAATCCAGAAAGATCTTGGCAACAAACACATTATTATAACCAATCACAGCTGTTTCCTTTTGAGGTCAATGTGCTTATTAATAGGGAAATTTCTTTGAAAATATATTCAGGTACTTTTCTCTTTTGCATTTTCTTTTTCTGGTTTCCCCTCTGTTGAGCCAGATGCATCCATATTATCTACAGATTAGTGGGAGTTACCATAACAAGGACACAAAGAAAATAGGTAGTATTTTGCTCTGACACCCAAATTAAAATTTTCCAGCAAGATTACACACACACACATACATACACACACACACACAAACATACTCTCTCACACACACACAGACACACATTTTTTTCCAGTATTGGAGTTGAACCCAGAAGTGCTCTACCACTGAGCTATATCCCCAATTTAAAAAAATATATATTTATTTATTTTGATTATTTTTTAAATTAATTTTTTGACATGAGGTTGTCTAGGTTAACCTTAAACTTGTTATCCTGCTGCCTCAGCTTCCCTAGTTGCTGGGATTATAGGCATGTAGCACTATGGCTACCTAAGACATATTTTTGATGAGAAAGAGAATTTTTAAAATTTCTCTATTTTCCTCTTTGAATTATTGTCATATATTCCACATAAGATACATTCCAGTCAAAAAGGAGAAGAAAGAAGACAAAGCCCCTCTTTTCTGATCCCAGATTGTGAGGATTATGGGAAGAAAAATAGCAGAGGAAGGGAGAGCAAGCATTCTGAGATGTGGTTCAATCTCTCCTCTCTAAGCCAAAATTGTGGGTAATAAAAGACTGAATCCAGAATGCCAGGGTTTAAATTTCAGTTTAAGTTTGGTCAACTACTTAACCTCTAGTGTTTCTCTCTCCTCCTCTATAAAGTGGTAATAAAGGTATCTATATCCCAGAATTGTTGTGAAAATTAAAAAGTAAGTATGAGCTACAGTGCTTCTCACTGTGATTTGGATCTGAAGTGTTCCCCAAAGGCCCAGGGGTTAAAGGCTTGGTCACAGTTTGCAGTGCTATTGGGGAGGTGGTGGACCACTAGATAAGACCTAGTGGGAGGAAGTGCGCCCTTGAAGGGGATACTAGGAACCCAGCCCCTTTCTGTTCAATGATTGCCATGACACTGCCATGAATCCTTCTACCAAGCATTCCTGCCATGATGTACTATGCTGCCATAGTCCCCAAATAACAGGACACGTGACCATGGACTGAAATCTCTGAAACCATGAGCAAAATAAACCTTTTCTCCTTTTAAGTTGATTTTCTCAGGTTTTGTGTCGCAGTGGTCAAAATCTGACTAACATAGTTATTGTTATGAGGAATGGGGTGATAGATACTGGTGGTAGATTTTCAAAGGAATGGGCTCTACATCTCCCATTTGGGAATCTGGAAGGAAGTCACCTGAAAAACTGAGCTGCACCCACCTTGCATAGCCTTATAAGAAGACTGTTTGCCAGCTTTGGTACTGGGCTTGCCTTTCTCTAGTTCTTCCTTACCACCCCTCAGCTCCATGAGCCCAGGGAGGAATAAGGAGCATTAGCTGAGTATCCGGTAGGAGAGTTTCCAGAGGAGGCCACCTTAGAGAGCTGTACCACTGAGCTGGTATGTCTGGGATATTTTCAAGTCATGGCCAGGTTACAGGGTGGTCCACGTCACCACAAAAGTGAAGATAGGGCATTCAACTAGGGAGACCACCGGTCCTTAAATGGAGAAAGAGAGCGAGTTCTCCTGGCCATAAACATCCATTGCCAGTGTCAGCAGGAGGGCATGGAGTAGGACCAGACTCTCCTCAGAGACTAGCAAATGTAGCCATGGGGAAGCCCTGCCCCTTCTAAGCAGCTCCATAGCAGAAAACAGCAGAAACTAAACAGGGAGGCCATGGGATAATTCCAAGAACCATCCCTCAGCCTAGACGCCCTCTTTGGGAAAAAGAGGTAGAAATCCAAAAGACTATTCTATCCATGCTGGGCTATTCACCATTTAAATTATTAAATTCAACTATGCTTATTAGATTATACTAAAGCTGAATTCTCATCCCATTGTCCAACACCTTCTCACACCACTGAATAGTAAGGTGAGAACTTAAAAAGACATTTAACAGAAATAAAGAAATTGCTCTCCAACTCTGTGCATTGAAGTATAGTGAGGGTAAATTTGTGACTCTGCTTCTTCCCTACCATTTAAACTCTGAATGAGACTTCTCCCTGACAAACCCCTCCTTCATGCACATTCACAGACATACCCACACCCACACTAGCTTAGTTCTAAAATGAGCTTTAGGAACAAGTCAGGAGAGTTTTGGGCACTAGGTAAACAGGAGAAAGAAATACTTTCCAAAAAAAGACTTAGCCCTGGTAGCTTTCTTTAAAAAGTAGAGAAAATGCAACCAGTTGCATGAAAAGGATTTGAAGGTACAACTTTTCCCTGTGCCCCCCCTCTCTTTCTTTCATAAAGGGAGACGTTAAAGGTATCAAACAATATGTCAACAAAAATTTGTTGTTTAACCACTTTGTAGAGTAAGGCTTATGCTTTGAGCCTATTAAAGTAAACTACCATTAAAAAAAAAAAGAAGAAAAAACTTTTAAGCTTTGTTCAAAGCAAAGAACCAGAACAATTCCTAAACTTCAGTTTTGAGGCTATGCTGAAGGCTACCCCACCCTTGGACTAGGGACTCAACCAATGTGAACTCAAAAAACATCTTCAGGCTGACTTTCAAATTCCTTGATAAATATGCAGGATTTCTTTCCTAGTAGGAAAACTACTTACTCAAAGCAGGCTGGGTGACCTCAGATGGCTCTGCTGGGACTGGAGGGGCATTGGAAATGCTGGTGAAAATGATGTTGTCACCACCAACTCAAAAAGCCACCCATTAATGAGTGAGCCCCACGCCAGCCTCTGGAGCATACACATATGCATACACACGCAGAAACACATGCTTGCACGGGTGGACAAGTGTACACCTCCCCCAGGGGCTGAGGCCAGGATGGCCATCCCGCATCAGCCGGATGAATAGCCAGTCTGTCCTGCCAGCTGTGTACTCTCTCCCACCCAAGAAAAGCAGCAGAGACAGACAGCAGAACCTGGAGGAGCCCACGCAGTCTGTTTCTGGCACCCAGTGTGTGAAGGTTCTGGAGGGCAGCAAGATGGAATCAGAAAGAGAAATCATCGATCTTCAAGTAAGTTCTGTCTGGGAGAGAGAAGGGAAATTGGGAACAGAGATGAAGCTAGAAGAACGAAGGACTGATATTTTGGTGATTTGATATTCTCCCCTTCCACATGCTTTTTCTTCCCCTCCCCCTTCTCCATAGTCTCCCTAGGCTTTTTTCTCTTTATTCCCCTTTTCTCTCCATTTTCCCGTCTGGTTCTTCACTTGTCTTGAGATATGTGAGACTGAATTGTTTAAATCCCTCTTGGCCTCTGCTTCCTCCTGTCAGTCAAAGAGCTAATTAGATCTGTGTTACCAGAAAATGACTTCACATTCTGTGCAGTGCTTTTCCCAAAACCCCAGGACAGTCAGACGATTTGAGAGCTGCCAGACAGTTCTCTGGAGACAAGGGAAGATATGAGTTTTGGGGTTGGAAGGGAGGCAGCTGGCCAACTTTGCATTTTACAGGTTGGAAAGAAACTAGTCCTTCCTCAGCTACCTGCACAAAGCTCTCTCCTGTGCAGGACAGAAAGCATCTCATTCAGACAGAGCAAGCTAAGAAGCCAGCATAAGCTATTAGAAAGAGGCAGAGACAACATCCTTTCCTACCAGGCATATGCTTAGAGGGTACCTTAGAGTCCAACCCACCATGACAGGAAAAGGGAATGGAAGGCTCTGGTTGAGAGCAGAGTCAGGTTGCTGGAATCTGTAATTCCCTGACTCTCTGTCAATCAAAAAAAGTAGAATCAAGCTTCCTATTGCCATCACAGAGGTTGTATGAAAACTTCATAGAGCTTGAGGAAGAGCAGAAAATGACTTGTACAGGGGGTGGGGGGAGGGCTGCTGGGGATTGAACTCAGGGACACTCAACCACTGAGCCATATCCCCAGCATCCCCCTCTCCCTTTTTTGTATTTTATTTAGAGACAGGGTCTTGCTGAGTTGCTCAGGGCCTCACTGAGTTTCTGAGGCTGGCTGTGAACTTGAGATCTTCCTGCCTCAGCCTCCTGAGCCACTGGGATTACAGACATGCACTACCACACCCTGCTCAGAAAATGACTTTTGAGATCAATAATGTTTTTAACCTGGTCTTCTTCCAACTAAATCTTAAAGCAGCAATGTAGGAAATACTTTTGATTAAAGAAGAGCTGCTTTTGTTTAATCAGAGAGAGTGTGTTGGAGGTGGGGGTGTATGAAAACTTCATAGCAGAGCTTTTGCCCTTGGTTGACCCCCGACACAACACCAGAAATTTGTAGGATTATTTGGTGTCTTTTGTCAAAATCATTCAGCTGAGGCTGGGCACAGTGGCTCATGCTTGTAATCCCAGTGGCTAGGAAGGCTGAGGCAGAAGGATTGCAAGTTCAAAGCCAGCTTCAGCAAAAGGGAGGTGCTAAGCAACTCAGTGAGACCCTGTCTCTAAATAAAATACAAAAAAGGGCTGGGGATTTGGCTCAGTGGTTGAATGTCTCTGAGTTCAATCCCCAATACCAAAAACAAACAAACAAACAAACAAACAACAACAAAAAACCCTCAAAATCATTCACCTGCTATAACTGCATACGTAGTATTATTTTCCTGGATTATCAGCCAGCCTCAAACGTGGTCTTCCTGAAGGACTTACTGATCCCTTTTCCTGGAATATTCTTTCCCTGGAATATTCTTTCCCTGGCTTATTCCTTGCTCCTTGGCTGGCTTCTTTTAGGACATTCAGCTCAACTGTTACTGCCTTAGGGAGACCTTTCCTGACCCTCCTCTCCCCATTTGTCTTTATCATTTGTTTTATCTTTTCCATAGCACTGCTCACCATTTGAGGTTATTTAATCATTTATTACCTGTCACTCTTCACTAGAAGATACACTCCATTTAAGTGGGTCTGCTTGATTTTATTCATTATTGGATCCCTAGGGCATTGAGCACTACTTGGTACTCAGTAAGTGCTTAGAAAAAATTTGTTAAATGAACGAGTTAAGGAAACCCATGAGTTAGAAGAGATCAGTAATAGGCATAAGAAAACTCAATCAAGACCTTGACAGAGTTAGGACTCCAAGCAAGGTCCTCTGAGGTGTACTTTCTTTTTATTGCACTTAGTTCTTGCCTCCATTCCTAAGTAGCTAAGGGAACACTCACTTCCAGTGTATGAAGAACATGTTTCTTATGTGCCAATGGGTAAAACAATCCTGAGTTTACAACCTATGGACTTAAATTTGATTTAGAAGGAAAGAGACAGGTGGAATGAAGAAGTTTACTGACCAGATTTGATCAATGTTCTACCTCTAGCAAGTGACCGAAAAGTTAGTATAGCTTTCTCTTCTTCATTAAAATCATTCTCTCAATATACTAGCTTAGGGCTGGGGAAGTAGCTCAGTGACAGAGTGTGTACCCAGAATGTGTGAGGCTCTGAGTCCAATCCCTGGTACCACAAAATAATAATAACAATATACTAGTCTTTTTTTTTTTTTTTTTTTTTTTTTGTACTGGGATTGGGGCACTTTCCCACTGAGCCACATCTTCAGCTTCCTTTTAATTTTTTTTTGTACTGGGATTGGGGCACTTTCCCACTGAGCCACATCTTCAGCTTCCTTTTAATTTTTTTTTTTTTAAGACAGGGACTCACTATATTGCTCAGGCTAGCCTTGAATGTGCCATCCTCCTGTCTCAGCCTCCTGAGTCCCTGGGATACAGGAGTGTACCACCATGCCTGGCTTATTTTAGTCTTTATTCATACCTTCTTTTGGTCATTTATTAGTTTTGTTGGTCAGAAGGTGTCCATTATTCACTACACTTCCTGTTCAGCTCTCTGATAAAATTAGAGCTCGTATCCTTTGGAAACTATGGTCTTCCAAAAAGGCAAACTTTGGTTAAAGACAGGTAGGGTTGTCTATCCTCACGAAATCTGGAGGAAAGACATAAAGGCTCTGGAATATTACATATTGAATAGCTATTAGTTTTTCCTCCATTTTTGTTTGATGGTTTTCCAGGGGTTGTAAATTGACTGTGGCTAAGTCACTTCATACATTCATTCAACTAATATTTACTGATCAATGACTATACATTTCACTCCTTGCTTGCTAGGCACATACTTTTACTCTATCTTGTAGCCCAAGATGAAGTCTTAAACTTGTATTTTATTCATCCTAGGAAGAACAAGGAGAAAGTATGTGAGTATTTTTAAAAAGTATTCACTTTTTAAAAATCCTGTTATTATAAAAACACCTTTAAATCCAAGTTCAAATAATGAAGGTATAGCATTGAAACCAGGGCAATTTCTTTTGCCATATAAATATTGCCCTCCGGGGCTGGGGATGTGGCTCAAGTGATAGCGAGCTTGCCTGGCATGCATACGGCCCGGGTTCGATCCTCAGCACCACATACAAACAAAGATGTTGTGTTCGCCGAAAACTAAAAAAAAATTAAATAGATATTTTTTTAAAAAAGATTCTCTCTCTCTCTTTAAAATAAATAAATAAATAAATATTGCCCTCCTATTTGTGATACTGATCTTGTAGGTGTAACTTAAGTACATAGATTAACTCCTAATAATCTCAACCCCATCACCCAAACAAACCAAAGAAAGAACAAATATTTATTGAGCTTCAATACAGTACTAAGCATTGAATTAAACATGGTCCCTGATGTTAGGAAGCTTATAATTAAGTGGAAAAAAATATACACAATCTATACACGATTAGCTATAATAATAAAAAAAAAACTATTTGGTTAAACCAGTTCTTCCCCAAAATGTGGTACGATTAGTAAAGGTGTTACCGATGACTGACAGCTTTGTATTATAATGGATACCTTTGTTGTTTTAATGTGTGTTGGAAAAAGGGTAACTAATGTATCAAACCTGTGATTTCAAGATTTTTATTGCTTAGAAAGAAGCTAAAGTGAGAGACATGATGTGACTTAACACTTTTATGCAGTCCTCAGGAGTGACATGGGCCATATACTGCATGATTTCAATAGTTACATCTGTCATAACTGTTCAAAAGTGTGGCTAGTATGGCTGATACAGGTCACAGGGATACATGACTGCATACTGCTGCTTTCTTTTCACTAGGACCTTGAAATCATGAACATGGCACAAAGTAAATCTGGGAAACTCCAATCCTGAAAACATACACTTTAGTATCAATAATCATGTTATAGATTGTTTGCTCAGGTCAAGACCTGTGAGACTAGGATGTTAGTAGCGATACAAGTAAGAGTGACATGTGGCTGTCTCTATCTACTAAATACCTGGAACTCCTGCTGTCCTTCTACAAGTGTGGTCTTCAAGCCTCTGCCCTTTTCCCTGCCCTTGGTGGAAGCCCTGCCTGTTTGCTCAGGCTACTCATTTTCCATGCTCTGGACTTGATTAGTTTTCCATCTTTCTCCACCTCCCAGAGTTCAGATGTGAGGAAGGTTGAGTAAAATCCCTTTCTAGTCCTTCAAGAATGGGGTTCAAGCCTGCAGTCTGGTTCCTTCTCAAAGGGGAGCTCCTCTTCTGCTTCCAGATTCCCCCATAGAGCATCACATACAGCCCCCTTTTCTACCCACGGGGGGTATAGAAGGATGTGTAAAAATGGTCTCCTATAAGAGGAACTAAGATTGTCAACATTCAATATGCAGATTCAATGTGGAAAAGGTTAAGTGTAGCAACACACAGAAAGAATTATTTATTATTACCAGAGATTGAACATGGGTGCTTAGTCATGTCTCAAGCCCTTTCTATATTTTGATTCAAGATCTCCCTAAGTCACTTAGGGCCTTACTAAGTTGGTGAATCTGACTTTGACCTCACCATCCTCCAGGTTCAGCCTCTTGAGACATTGAGATTACAGGCATGCACCACTGTTCCCAGCTGCGTCTTTTTGAATATATATATATATTTCTAGCAATTTTAGGTTCATAGCAAAATGGAACTTCACAAATCTTCTGTATAGAGAACTTCACAAATCTTCTGTATCTGTATATGCCTAGATTTATAATCAACTTCCTTCACCAAAATAGTGCATTGTTTTATAATTGATGAATCTATGTTAACACATC